TACAGAGTTAAGTGTCGTTTATAAGCGGCTTTGTGATCTCGTTCAGACGCGCTACGCAAATAAATACATCGCGATCGAGCTGGAAAACTTTCCGCTGGTGGGTTTGTGGCCTGTTATCGAGCTGCTTCTGGCCCTTTGTCTGACCAGCTCTTCATTTCGCTGCATTTGTGTATTTGCGGTCATTTCATCTCTTAATAGAACCTGGTTTTGTTTCTGTACTTCAGATGAACCCAAACGGACTCGAATATCTCGATGTAAACACAACGAATCTTCCGAGAGCGCTTTAAATACCGTTTCATAAGTCAACAAAATGTGACCCTGGAGCACAAAACCAGATTTTGAGATGTAGTTGTCTAGTGATCTTTTCAGGTAGATGTTGTATTTCTGAGAGGAGCGCGGTGTGCTTTTGTAGAAACTGAGCTCGAGGGTGCCTCCGGTGGATCCGGTGTTTCCTCTCGCACCGGTTCCCGTTCAGCTTTTTAAGGTTATTCTGCTCTGCACCACATCAACTCTGTCGCTTCTCTTTCAGCTCGCTGCCCTAGACTTGAACTCCGCTGATGTTCAAGGAGTCCCTGGAAGTGAGTATCCGATTCTTACACCAGTTTTGCTCTGGATGAAGGAGAGTTGTGTGTTTGCCATGCTAACAAAGTCTGTCTTCACCAGGGCGCTACATTCCACCTCATTTAAGGAACAAAGAAGCTACCAAAAATGGTACGTTACGCTTTTCTGCTTGATGTGTCTGTTAGCCCTAAAGCTCCAGTGCTGTTGAAGATTGTGATCGTCTGACTTAAAGACAGTGTTGTTTGTGTTTGTGGCTCAGCATGTCTGTAGGACGTCTGTCAGTGGCTGTGTTTCCATCCAAAGTTGCGAATTTAACTCATGCACACAACTGGAATATCGCAGAAAACGTTTGTGAATAAAGCACCGTTTCCATGCAGCGGGTCAAAGAGAACAGAATCTTCCTGAAAAGTCACTTCCTGATAAACTGGCTCTAAATATCACAAAGAAAACTAGGAGAAGCCACTGAATATAATAATTTTAATATGTGATAAATGACTAAGAGCGAGCAGACGAAACACAGTAAATGTGGTCAATGCTTTCGGAGGAGGATGCTGCTGTTTGGGAACACGGTCGTTTAAGACAATTATACAGAAATACTTTAACGACAGGCTTTGCTCAGGCCTTTCAGAACGACCAGAACAACATATAGATGCTGTGAACGAGATCGGTCCGCTGGTTAGTCGAGTTATCCCGTCTCATAGCGCAAATCACATGACTGTTCGATGCGCATGGTGGAAGTTATTCAGTAATTGTGTTTCCGGCTTAGTTTATGCACGTTTTTTCTTATCGGATAAAAAGTTTATCCTACTCAATTGTGCGCATACGTTTTTTTAATGCACATTTTTAGAACTTATGTGCGTCTTGGCACTTCCATCTAGCGCTTTTTAAAAAAAAAAATTATTTTTATGCAATATTCCAAAATGCATGTAAAAATAGGTGGATGGAAACATAGCTAGTGTGCAGTCTGTGAATCTCTGCTTGCTTCTGTCTAGGTGCCAGTGCACTACTGCACTCTCTCATACCTCTCTCTTTCGGACTGTTATTGGTACACATCTTGAGCCAAAACAGTGCTTTCCA